ACCTCTTTGAATGAACAAGCTAAACCAGCTAGCTTAGATAGCTTGTTTACAATCACTGTTGTAAACACCAGTCCTGGTTCACAAACGCAGTCCAAGAATCCTAATCGTTAGTCTCCTGTTGCTCTTAGTAACTGACTAACTAGAGAAGTGAATTAAGTGTCCCTGTTACTGACAGGTTAGCATAAAGGACAGCATTTCAAATGAATATCTTGCATAAAGGACTGCTTCATGATTGTGTCTCCTTCTCCCCCCTTTTTTTTTAAGGAAGGGGAATCCAACCCCCCAAAGCAAACACACCTTGGCTTTTAAATGAGGTTTTGTAGTCAGTAGTTGTTGCAATCATGATGCACAGAAAAGTGCTTGTGTCCCGTGTGATTTTTTTTTTTTTTAAATCTCATTCTGTCTTGCAATCACTTAGTTATACAATGTGGAAGTTTGAGAGGTGTAAATACCATCAACCTCCCTGGTATATACTGGGTTCAGTTGATTCTGCTGTAAACTGCCAATGCCAGCCTGTATCAAGAGCATAGAGCTCAGCAGTTCAAAATATTTTGTATGTTGAACAGCACAGAAAAAAAGAGCTCTGGATCTTGGTTCTTTACTGACCAGTACAGAAGGCAGGCTGCGATTAGTCTGTATAGCTATTAGACCTTACCTGTCCTTCCTGGAAAGGATGAATATTAGTCATTTGTCAGATAACACTGACGGGTAGTTTGGTGCAAATGCAGTACACCTTTGATAAATTTGTTTCCTTCTGAAACTTTCCTGTAGTATTATACGTGAGGCATTGTGCACGCCGTGAATGTGAAACAGTGGGGTTCTCATTCGCTTGGACCCGGGATGGCTCCGGGTGCGGGGTGCAGCACCTTCAGTAACAAAGCTGCGATGTTTAATAGACGTCTCCACAGTGGACGAAAGTGGCTAAAAGGCTTTTGGATCGTAGCTGACCCTAGAAGTGGGATAGATGTAGTTTGCTGTGCTGTGTTTGTGCACGTGAGCCAGACCGTATTTGAACCAGTTTGAAGTGTCTGCATCCATGACGCTCTGATTCACAGCACGGGTAAGTTGTTCACAGATGATGAAGAGCTACATTTAAGCTAGTATGATAGCTTGTTTAAATGTTTGCACATGCTCTCAAAATTAATTTACAGATGAGTATGTTTTATATAAATGATATATTTTAACTGAGTCTGAGTAGAGAAAGAGTTCTTGAAGTTGAACCTGAGTACTACAAAAACCCAAGTTTCTTTACATCTTTTTAAATGGCCTGGACAGTGAGAATGTTTTGGCTTTAACCGCTTGAGAAATGATTTTGCGGTTGCATGCTAAATCAAGACTCCTTACCGAAGAAGCATTCCACTTCAGGGTTTCTGATATCAGCAGGTACGGTACAGTCTGAGCAACTGACCGAGTGGGTTACGTTCTATCCCTGGGTATTCCATGTCTTGCTGAAAGCTCCTCGTGGCTGTGAAACAACCTTGAAAAATCTAATGCTAAGCTGTGTCTCCGGCTAGAAGGGGGCTCTGCAGGATGTTACAGATTGTTCCAGAGGAAAAAATGATCTCAAAAAAAAAAAAGGGGGACAACCCCCAAACTCTTACTTTGTAATGTTACTGAACATAGAAACCCTGGAGAATCTCTGTTGTTATACAAGAGTACAGCTGAGATACAATACTGTGAAGCTACAGGTCTGTAATCTTTTCTCTATTTTGTTATATGGAAGTTGGAGAAATGGTCATGCGCTCTGGAAACTTTGGAAAATCTTTTACACTTTTGTAGGTGCAGCTTCAGGTGATGGGAGCATGTGGGATCCTCATCTCTCAAGATTAGGGAAATAGAGCCTAGTTTGAAAATGAGATGTTTAAAATGCTTTTATTTGCCATTTCCTGTCAGGCTGTAAGCCCTGCTGCCCTTGTTCTCAAGCCTGTCTTTGCTATCAGGAGGGTTAACATTGGCGTTGCAGAGGCGGGGGGCTTTTAAAAGAGCTATTGGGAGGCATAGCAGGAAACTGAAGTGGAATCCATTAATGGCAGGTGCTGATGGCGACAGTTTTTCTTCTTTTCTTACCTCTTACTTGATTTGCTATCCAAATCTGTTTAGAACAGGTTTGGGGAAGATAGTGAAATACAGGCGTCAGACAGTAACCTGACTGTACCAAAACTCCTACAGTTGTACTGCAAGTGGGTTTGTATCAAAGGAATGACAACTTGGGGCAGGGGGAGGTATTGAGACAAGTAAACAAGTCTTTATTCTTCCCAAATATGGTGAATCTTCCTGCTTTACATGGTAACTGTGTGGCAGAAGCCATACAGTAAGGGGAAAATTGTCATGAAAGAAGACGACTCAAGGTAAGCCACTTTCCCCTCACACTGGCAGGAAACTCAAGTTGTTAGCCACCGTGCTGGCACATGGCTTACCACGCACAGGTTGTGTGACTGTTAGTTTGGCAGAGCACCCAATCCAGGCAAGGAAAAGGACAGGGATATGAGTTTATTTTCCTGGCATTTTCTCTCAAGTGGAACATCTTAAATATTGACATCTGGCATTTTCTCTCCTCAAGTGGAACAACTTAAATACTGACATCATCTGCAGCAGTTAATATATTTAATATGGAAAATACTGTAATTCCAGGAATGACACCAAACAAGTGGAGTTCCACTGATCTGTAAACAAGGTGATGTCCACAACCCTAAATTTGCCTATTCTAGCGGAGTCCTTTTTTTCAGCTCTTCCTTTTGATTTCTGTCTTAGAGCAACTTGAAGAAGGTAATCTTTGTTTTTGCATCTTCTACAATTTGTCTTTTGGCCAGCAGAATTATAAAGGAGGGGAAGGGGATATTTTCAGTTGTGCTTTAGCACAGATGCCCTAAGTTGTATATTTATTATTGATATTTTTCTCTGAAGAGCACCTCTCATGTTACAGTGGAGTAAACTATTGACCTGTTTTGGGAACAGTGACATGCACATTCATGTGCAAAGCCTATCTAAAGGGAAGCTGGTCTTATCCTCAGGGCAGAGGCGGTTCCCCAAAAGGCAGTAGAACTGAGCAAAAGAGTGGACAGTTTTCATGGAGATGGTGCTTTGCTTTTTGTCTTGTGTTCCAAATTTGTCCTTATTCTTGGCTCCTTCTGAAAAAAATCTTACAGAAGACTCTTTCTTTTGAACTTATCTTTTCTCTTGCCTTTCTGTCACTTGTGCTGCCCTGCCTCTCTATCTTTTCCCTTAGAGTTGAGAGTAATAGCAACAATGTGTGTGTAGGCTGGAGGCTGGTGTGCAGAGATAACTGACCTGGTTGGGTTTGAGTTAGCCCAGGAATTGAAAGAGCCCTTTAGCGACAGGTGAGACATCTCCAAGACAGGTTTTAGCTTAGGTTTTTAGCTTAGGCACAGCACTAGGCAGTATTACTCATGGGCACGAGCTGTTAGGTCAGCACAGCTGTTAGCACTGCAGAGTGCAATTGCTGGCTGGGGTTAAATGCTACATTGGAAACCTCTGCACTACTCTTTGTTGTCAGATATAGATACATCTACTATGTTTGCATCTGTCTGTGGCTCAGTTTTTCTATGGACCTGTCTTTTTTTTGTGTGTGTGTTATTAAAAAGAGCTGTAAATTCTTTGATTATGTCTTTGTAGTGAAATATGCAGGCTCTTTATGATTCAGGCATTTTTATAGCTCCAAAAGTATCTATGTATGACACATCAGTTTATGTGAATATTGAGAATTTTAGAAAAACTGCTCTGTGTGTGTGTGCTTATATATGTATATACAGTGCATGGTTGACTGTAGCAATTAAACTCTGCATTTAACCAGCATGCTTGTAGTACCTCTTATTCTCTTCTTTTTTCTCTTGCTCTTGGCAGTTATCAGAGACCTGACAAATTACGTCTCTACTTATTAGGGTATCTGCTTTTTATTTTTTCTGCTCTGCTTGCTTTGCCACTGAGTTTGCTGGTAGAAATGACTCCAACGCAGAATCATGAACTGTTTGAATTTTCAGTACAGAAGTTTCTGACTCAGCTTGTTATATTGCTATTTCTGTGCAGCACAGTTTCTCCTAATGGATAGGCAAGGACATTGTGTGCTTAAATGATGTTTTATTTGCTCTGATCCATTTTTTCTTTTTTCTTTCTTGTCCTTTAAAGTATTACTACTGTTGCTAGCAGGATTCTCCAAAATAGTTATTAAAAGAACCCTACAAAACCCTCAACAGTTTCTTTCCTGCTTGAAATATAAGGTGCATATATTTATTAATAGTTTTGAATAGGGATATATGAAAGCATTTTCTGCTGGTGGATTTCATGCTGAATCTTTTTATTCCAATGACTGCAAAATTTGTTGTTATTTTCTAGTGGGGGGGGAAGTTTCATTCACACATTAATGTAATGATTTTCTTGTGTGGACATATACACCAGGCAATAGAGTGAGATCCTATTAGGTATTTCCAAAAAATGCTGTACGTTTTCCTGTATCCTCTTATCTGAAATTTCTTATTACTGTGCTAAAAGTATTGTTATTATAAGCAATAAAGAGCTAGGCTGTGATCTTCCATTGTAAGTATAAAGGGAATAAAAAAGTTTTTTCTCCTCACAGCAAGCCATTGCTGGCTGGCAAATAAGGTAGGGGTTATATGGGGGGAAAAAGCCTCAAAACACCCGATACACATCATGATGCTGGGTTTGAATGCATTATGTATAGGAGTGCTTAGGGACTGATATCAAAGTTGCATAGGTGACCTTAATTTGGCAACTATGTGCCTTTTGAGGGATTGAATTTGTTACATTGATAACATCCTTTTAAAAACATTTTTTTTTTTTTTGGAGAGTGAAACAGTTCTAGGTATCTTTTTACCATTTAATTGTGTTGCATTTAAATGGAGAAGAAATTGAAATGCTTTATTTGTAATCCTGTAGGATACTAACTGTTATTATTATAGTTTCTTCAATAAAGTCTTTCCTCTCTCTCCTCTTTATTTGATTATGCTTATTTATTTATTTTTCAGATATGATTCTGGACCAGCAGGTGGGCTCTGGGCAGCTCAGTGAGGATGTTCGTCACAGGGTGCATGAGGCATTACTTAAGCAGCATCACCATCAGAACCAGAAGAAGCTGAGCAACAGGATTCCAATCGTGAGATCCTTTGCTGATATTGGGAAGAAGCAGTCTGAGCCCCATTCCATGGATAAAAATGGTAATGCGTTGCTTTCTTTTACATTTCAGAACTTGCAGTAGCATCTGCCTGCTCAATATCCTCTGTGCTTTTGTACCTACAGCTTGAACTGAGAGTGATTCTGCTCTGAAAAAATTGCTGTGTCAAAATGGTACCTTTTAATGAGAGAATGATTCCTCTTTTGCATTCAGAAAAACACTTGTTTAAATTTGGAATTCAGATCTATGGCACAATTTAGGGCTATGCAGAGATATCCAAGTGAACTAGCTCAGGCATTGGCAGTAGGTTAGCCACATTGATGTGACACCCCATTCTGGGTAAATGGCGTTGTGTATTATCCCAGGTGGAGTACCGCTCTAGTAGGTCTACTGTGCTTTTGGCACTCTGTGAGCTCCTTCACAGTGAGCTGGAGCATCTTCGCACAGTGTTGCTCTAAACTGTGGACATACTCCACTGGTGCCAGAAATGTTTTTTTACTACTTTTGATTCCTGTTGACCCTGTAGGGCCTATTTACTTAAAGTATCATGAATTGTTATAATAGTTTCTCAGTCTGTGCACACATGCTAGCTTCTGTTCTTGGATTTGTATTTAAAGGCACGAGGGCTTGTGTTTTTGTAACTGGATGATAATTGTATACATTAGGTAGCATTCAACTGGTATTTCAGATTTCATAGTGAGTTTATGGGGTTGGAAAATGAGAAAAACATTCTCAGGATGATACTGTTGGAGAAACAATACAAAGAGTGTACACTGTTCTGTAGAAAATTACTTTTTGGAAAATTATATTTCATAAAAATGAGAGAGCAAGTCTGCAGAGTGCTTCTACAGTAAAGTATCAGCTTAAATTTTTTCTTGTTTTTATAGACGCCCTTAAGCTTTATTGTTGTTATAGGTTAACCATGATGAAGCATCTTTTCTTATTGCCCCTTCTTTACGTACACACATGCCCATGTAATGAAATTTGCAGCCAAATTTTGCAAGTAGATAAAATTACTCACTTGCTAGTATTATCTGCTGAAGATTTATTGAGCCTTTGCATCCAGTATCATCACAATACCCACAGCTTTTCTGTCCCAGCATTGCTGAACTGTGCTGACTCTTATCACAGGAACCACCTTAGCTGCAGTAAAGTCTCAGTCCCTTCTGCTCTCTCTCTGTTCAGGGCCCCACTGAGTTCCTCTATCCCTGAGGATGTGGGGAGCGAGGAAAGCAGTGGTGCAGGAGAGGAGTATGATGTGGGGCCTTTGGGCAGGAGGCTGGGGTGCAAGTGGTGAGGAGGTTTGGTCCAGAAAGGCGGGACTGGTTGTATGGAGACTACTTTTTGTTCCGAGGAGGGATCTTTTATTTCAGTCATTGTAGAATAAAGGTTTAATAGGTACTTCTAAATATAGGCACTTCCCTGGGGAAGATTATCCGACCTAGAAGGCAGCGTATAATTTCATCTGAAGAGGATATTAAATAGAAACATATTCATTATGCCAATAAATCATTTTAAGAGTAAGGCAAAAATAATTCTCGTGGTTATTAAGATGTGTGTGATTATCTATATGAAAGTATAAAAGTAAAACTAAATAGAACCATTTAAACTGTCTGTCCTTCTTCAGGTAACTTTGCTGTTGATTCATGTAACTTTGCTGATAGCTTTAAACACATTCAGGAGGATGGAAATATGAACATTTTAAAAAAGTTAATGCAATAATGTTCCTATTTCTCAATTTCCACAGGAGGAAAGATGGAAGCCTGCATTCCCTAATCTCTTTTGCAATATGTAACGGGGAAATTTTTAGGTCTTATCTAACAAATAAGTAATAGGTCTCCTTAAAAAGATCCCTCAGGGCAAGCTGTGGAAATATCACAAGCCACATTTCAGTAACCTTCTCTGTCTGTTAGTAGAATTCGTGTAGTAACATCCACTTCAGTAACATCTCACTTTTAGCCTGGGTTTCTTGTGGTCACCTTCATATCTTTATCTAATTCTCAAAGGAATAAATTCTGGTCAGCATCTAAGAGCATATTAAACGCTATAGTTTCATATACTCAATGGTTACATGATTCTGTATGTAGGGAAACACAGTCTTTACATGGGCTTTGTTTATTGGTGCTTATTCTACAAGGTGAAAAGGTACTTAATTGCAGTTCACGTGTCTTTGTAGAGGCTCCTTCAGCATTTTAACCGCTAGTTAGAAAGAATCAGTAACTTTCACTATGTTACTTGAATTAAGTTAGATTCTCTATAAACAATACAAATAAAAGTAATTTTAGGAACATTTATAGAGAAGTATCTAAATTGTGGTAAAGTTTTCCAAAAACAGTCACAGCTGTCTTTTATTCAGTTTGAAGCATTACTCTTCTACTTGCACCCGTAAGTGCTAATGCACACTTGGCAGTCTTCTGTATGGACCTCTTCAAAGTAGATGCTTGCCCTGCAGAGAGAGTTTGGTTTATTTCAAATTTATCTCTTATGGTACATTACTATGTTATATTAAATAGTTTGAACCTCCTTTTATTACCTTCTGTGTACTAAAATTAGTATTACCTTTAGAAGAACAAAATTCAGTCTAAATCTTTGCTTTGCAAAGGAAGCTCAGTTTTTTTTCCTCCTCAAAACAAATAAAGTAAATAAGCAGCTCACAGGCTTGAGTGGCAATAGTTGTCCCATATTACAAGATTAAAGGAGAGTGGAAAGAGAGATTATTCTGTAGAGCTGCCTAATTTCAGGCACACTGTCTGCTGCATCTTCTGACATACTTCTAGGCATTTCTGAACCCTGGGTACTTGCCGTACTACATAGCGTGTAAATTATGCAGAAATCTATGCTGAGTTTCTCAGCCTTTGGGAATCCTGCTGCCATTAAAAGCTTGACCGTGGGCATGAGTGAGCTTTCTGATCACGTGCTCTCGCTGTTGCCTTGTGGTCCACCTGCTATAGTCCAGCTGCGGTATGATGCTGCACCTCTATGTTTCTTTTTAGATTGCCATTTTAAAAATAGGAATATTGTACAAGCTTCTCTTAATACTACAGCAATGAATTGTAAAAATATGGTTTTGGATTAGGTGAAAGCTAAAGAAAATATGTGTAAATATATGTAAAAGAGAGCAAAATCAAGAGATATAAATACCTTCTATTAAGGTCAAGAGGGGGCTGTGAGTCACATCTTTGTTTCCTGAGGACAGACTGGTTAAATCCAGTCAGGGCTTCATCTTAGCCTGCTTAATGCCATTTGTGCACACATGTTATATAGTATGTATGAATGTAACGTGTTCTGAATATTGCCAACAGTACCAATATCCTTCTCTCTCAGTTACAAAAAGTGTATGAAAATAGTGAAATATTTTATTATTGCTTTTGCTTTCTGGATGAGAAGGTTAATTCACAAAAGACTGGCCCATCCTCAGGGAGAACAAACAGATCATCTCAGGTACTACTGACTAACGTACAGCCAGGAGATGAATCCAGCCTTATCAGAGGTCAGAGCTGCTCAGAAACTGTACATGCTTGAGAAGGTCCAGTTCTTTGTCCTTGCTCCAATGAGGCAGGGGAGGCTGGAGACTTCAGCTGGACAAACAGAAACCGTCAGTTTGGTTAAATTTGGGTTTAGTGCAGACAGTGTAACTGGTACAACCCTTAGTGGCCTGTAATTTGAGAAGCAGGTGGTTCAGAGCTATAAGTCCTTGCCATCCAGGTTATGTGGTACAGCTGAGAATGCAGATGCCCTTCCTTCTTCAAGTTCTTGACTCTGCTAGTTTATCAACATATCCAAATCCAGACATTCAGGATCAAAGCCTGAAAGCAAAGTCATAAACTTAGATTCCATACGTGGCTGTGCTACTGACACTGTGATATCTTTATTGGAAGATAGTTGTAAATATGTTCTCCCTCCATTTTTTCTTTGTTTAAGAGTCTGTCAGACCACCTAATTAATTTGCTTTGTATTTAGGAGTATTATCTTTTGTTTACAATGGCTTTTCTTCACATCCTCTGCAGGGCTAAGATGTCAGGGTGCTATGGATTTACCATGCATTTTTAATGCTACCATGCTGTGTTTAACTTTCACTTTTCATTAAGCATCAAAACTGTGAGAATTAAAAGCCTGCTTTTGATGTTCCAATAAAAAGCGGCAGTCAAATTTGGCATAAGAGCAGCAAAAATGATTATTTTTTTTAAGTCTAGCTTAACACCAAATACGCAGAATGGAGGGTGACCGATAACTTTAGCATAACTGCTCTAAAAGACAGGTAAAAAATATTAATCTTTGTCATTAGTAAGTTGTCTTTAGAAACTTTGGTTTGGAAAACCGTTTAGCTGATTTTTAAAGAGGTTCATAGGTTCTTCACTCTGCTGCTTGAGAACTGTCTGTAAATTCCTATGGCATGGTCTGAAAAGCCAAATGCAAATTACAAAGCCAAATTACAAATATACAACATCTTTCTATTATTACAGGGATGCTAAAGTCATTTTGTAAGCCTCTCCACTTTCATAGATGGTCTGCAATTCAGGATTTAAGTGTATATAGCAGTGTAGCTGATTGAGTGAAAATGATGTTAGGAAAAGTTCTCATAATGTAAACTTTCTTTTTTTGACTAGCTATTTCACTTTTAGTCTAGACTTCGGAGTGTGTGTATGTGTAAAATGGGATCTAGTAGATCTTTTATTGAAAAAGTTGAAGAGCAAGGAACTAGGGGAGAGGAGCATAGCAGGATATGGGACTTTTCGGCAAGGTGCATGGGAACGCACTTTACAAGTAGTGTTCTTTCTCCATTCTAACAAGATCATATGCATGTTTTCTGTTCCATATGTGTGCCATTTATATCTGCTTCTCCCGCAGCCTCAGAACACACACTTTGTTAGAGGAGAAATCGCATTACCTCTCACATCCTGATGGATTTTGAGAGATTTTAAGATTTTAAGGTTTATCAGTATGCTAGACAGGTTGAAGAAAGCAATGACATATTAGATATTTTCAGTCAGGGATGTTCGGAGTTAACAGCATGATCTGCTATAGCAGCTTAGTTTGACGTGT